CTACTGTGTCTGTGTGTGTGTGTGTGTGTGTGTGTGTGTGTGTGTGTGTGTGTGTGTGTGTGTGTGTGTGTGTGTGTGTGTGTGTGTGTGTGTGTGTGTGTGTGTGTGTGTGTGTGTGTGTGTGTGTGTGTGTGTTTTCATTCATATAAATCATAAGCAAATACAAGACAGCAGTTAATGATTGTAGGAATTAAAAGAAAAACATTGAGTTGATTGAATCCCATTTTTTCAAAAGCTTAAATGTCCTTTGAAAAATAGCTACAGTTTAGTTTTGGAAAAACAAATCTTAAATTCCAGGGATGCAACATGCTGTAAGACCTGAAAAGACTCGTGCAATCAAATTGAGATATAGTGATGCAAATATATTGAAGAAAAAGAAAATATATACATATCAAATATGAAAAGGTACAACTGTACAGCTAGAGTATTACTCCCACATCAGGAAATCACAAAAGGATGATTAAAGGCAGGCTAAATGACTACATTCCTGAATACAGTACAGCTTGATCCACAATATCTCTGTGTGATATGATTGGTGTTGTCAGAGCTTCCTGCTGTGTAAGTATCATCTGAGAATCCTCTGTCTGTCTCCTCAGAGCACGGCTCTGGATAAGGAGACCCTGCAGCTCGCCTCCCGCCGCCCTCGGCCTCAGACTCTCTCGTGTCCTCCCTCAGCGGCTGGAGACACCGTCCCTCCTGCAGTCAAACCAGCGTCTCCCACCAAACAGGCATCACCTGCCAAAAAAACAAAACCCTCCACGCCTGCTCGAGTCAAAGCACCGAACACCGCTGCTGTGCCTGATGCTGCCTCCCCCTCTGACCCCCCCTGCTGTCTGTCCCTGACTGACGGAGATGATGCCCCTCCCTCTGCTCCAGTGAGGTCCAATCATATCTCCTGTTCTCCCTCTGAAGAAACTCTCCCCGTTTCCTCTGATCCCGAGATAAGCACATCTGCTGCCCCCGGCTTCTCTCTCCAAACTCCCTCCCCCTCTGGCCCACCTGATCTGTTCACCTGCAACTCTCCCTCCTCACCCGTCTCCTGCCCTTCCCCATCATCACCCAACAATCCATCCTCCCTTCCCCTCTCTTCTCCCTACAAACCAGCCTCTTCTCTTCCCCTCTCTTCTCCCGCTAAGCCTGCCTCTCTTTCTCCCACAAAACAAGCCCTTATTCCTCCCTCTTCTCCCACAAAACCCTCCTCTCTTTCTCCCTCATCTCCCACCAAACTGGCTTCTCCCTCTCCCTCTCCCACAAAACCCTCCTCTCTTTCTCCCTCATCTCCCACCAAACGAGTCTCTTCCTCCTCTCCTACCAAAGAGGCAACATCCCTCTCTTCCTCTCCCACTAAACAATCCTCCCCCTCCCCAGCCTCCCCCATCAAACAGGTCATTTTATTCCCTTTCTCCTCCCCAACCAGACAGGAGCCTTCCTCCCCGTCTCCCATGCATCCCACCCTGTTTCCCTCTCCTCCCTCCACACCTCCCAGATCAGCCTCCCCTCCCTCCCCCGCTGACCCTCCCTCTCTGAGCCCTGTACCTGCTGAGGAGCTGATAGAGATTTAAACGGTAACTCCAATGCGACCCCTCGCTCCTTTTATTTCCACGCGTCAGTAAACATGGAGTATTTCCAGTAGCTGTAAACTGAGCCAGTGACTGCTGTCCCTTTCTCTGTCCCTCTTATCCAACTCCTGTTCAGAGACACATGTTCTCTCAGTGTGTTTGTGATTGTATATATGTTTGTATTTATTAATGGAGGATGAGGAGAAAGGGAATGAAGCTGAGTGGTTTGTGTTTAGAAGTCATGCATTACTGTTTAACTTAATGTGAATTATTTTGTTTATTTATCGTTATCCCATTTTGACTTGCCTGTGGCTCTTTTGTGAATAGCTTTCCATGACCACCACACAACTGCTTTAGAAAGAGACGGTAGAGTAATACTACATTAAAGTATATCAGCATATTAAATGTCTGAACGTATAGCCTAGCGTCTTGTAGTGCAACCCGGTTGTAACCACCATCAGTTTGTGACAGCCCCCCCTCATATGGTAACCACAGCTTTTCCTATAAAGTGTTACAGTACATTACAGTAGGTTGACAACATGTAGTTAATGTCCGCAGAGGTTCCTGACTTTTTGGCTTGAAACACCTAAACATGCACGTGTCTACTTGTGACCCCTTGTTATGAGTTCTCTGCTTTTGGGCCACTCCTACCAAAGATTCAAATGATTTGTATTCGAATACATTTCAAGGCCTAAAAATTATTCTTCTTGCAAAAGGTAAATATCAGGATAAAACATTAAGATATTTTTAGTTGCTTTCCAATCCTGCTAATCATCTCCAAACCCCTCAGGTTTATCTTGTGACCCCCCAGATATCATACAATATGAGGTTTATGTCACCACCACAATACAATGGAGGATTTGTATTGTGTTTGTGGGGCCTGCAAGATTATTTTTAATAATACAGATTACAATTATTTGTAGTGAGATACCAGGACACAACATGGAAATGTAATTTTCAATAATACTGATATGAATAAAACTCTCCACCTCCAATGCATTAGAGTCAGAGCTGTACTTATTTTAAAGAGAAACATATCTAAAAAACAAACTCATGTCCGGATAACGCTGAAAATAACTCTGCCAGTATGTCTTGCTTTGTTTTACAGAAGTCAGTTTGGAAAATTAATTTGTGCATCAACTCTAACTCATGCTGACATGCATCAACGTACTGTTTGTATTATTTCATGAGAACACTAGTTGTACATATTGTGAAGAACTTTATTTGTCCACCTGAAACTTGAAGGTGTGTATTCCCGACGTGTGTCTGAGCATTTAATGGCCATCAATTTGATTTAAAAAAACAGCTGTACATAAAAATAGATCCGTTAGACATAAAACCATATATAATATTTTTGTTTGAATGAACTGGGATTTTCAAAACTAGAATGCTTTCTGCTGCAACTTAAACACAGAGAAGATGTTTATAGTTATAACTAACAGACAGCGCTGCACTGTGTATTAAAATAAGTCGACCCTGTTTTTCCAAATACTCGCACAGTGGTTTAGATTTGTTGGATTTATGTGAATGAATGTGTTGTCAAGGTGACGGCTGTGCCTGACCACTTGCTAACAGCTCATGACTTAATAATGCCATCATCAAAACCAGCCCAGCTGAACGATGGGGTTTAAGTTAAGTGTTTTTGTCGTGTACCCGTGTTAAACTGCGCTAGTAGGGCTAACTCCTTTATCTCTTCAGGACTCCCGGCTGCATGCATACACTTCCTGCCTCCCTTTAAGACAGAAACCCTCTCACACACACACAGTCAAGTTGGTACATTTAGCTTCCTCTTATGTATATGTGGGTAAAGGATTTTCATATGCCGTTTGTAAAGGGAAACATTTGTATGAAAAGACAGTTTTAAAAACAGGTTTATCATCTGTGTCAAACTGCAGAAATGGTTTGTATTCGGCAAAGAGTGGCTGCTTTTAATGTCCCACTGTTTTGAAACGGAAGAAAGGCAAACGATGCAATAAAGACTTCAAATTAATGAATGTTTGTTTGTGAATATGTGTGTGTCCAGAAGGTGGCCACTAGAGGGCGCTATGCAGTCTTCAATGTGAGAAATACACTCATTCAAGTTATAAAATTCCATTTTATTGTCAGAACTCGGCACACAAAACACTCAAATTATTGCAAAAATAATGTTGGTTGATAGATAACAGTAGTTCTCATTTAACTGTAGTTTCAAACCACATCAAAGCGCAAACTTTAAAGGAATGTTCCCCTGAAATCTAAAGGATACAAGTGGACGTTTCATTTAGTGAAGACCAAAGGAATGCCATTTTAGTGCTGAATCATATCTTAACATAATCACTCATCCTGTGATGAAAGAGAAAAGTCCTTCCTGTCATTGAACGTCTCACTCTGCTGTCAGCTGCTTCGGAGACATGACTCAAAGAAGACTTTACAGATGATTTTAGTGATCTCTCGTTACTCAGGCTTTCACAAACAATGATCAAGATTCCCATTTTAAAAAAAGATTTTAAGATAGAAAAAAAAGATTCACTTTTTGCTTCTTCAGTCATTGTAGAAAGAAAAATCAAAGCACAATCCTGGACATGGTTTCCTGACATCCTTCTTTATCTTGAACATCACTGGATGGGAAGTTTAGACAGTATTAAATTAAGTGATACATCTGCACTGATATGTTTTAAGTGTGTAGTGAGCCATGCACAATCTCTTAGCAAGCACAGAGGTACAGAGGAAATGTTAAATATGGAGGACATACATTTAAACAGAATATATATATGTATGTATATTCCTTCTTTGTTTATCCTTCTATCCAATACATTTATTATTTATTCAAACACTTCAAATCTAACGGCAGTTTTGCCAAAAAAGAAGTTAAAACGTGAATGACAGCTTAATAATTATTCCCCACATACACACCTACAGAAAGAAAGATAATCACTCACCCTAAAGTACACAAATATTTGGATTTTTTAAGTAAAGAGAAAAGGTTCTCACTAGCTCCCAACAAATCCCGCCTTAGTTTTCCGGAGGAGATGAAAATAGACTCTTACAGCTAAAAATAGATTTGTTTTAACCGTACAGTAACATAACCCCCACCCTGTGAATTATAGGAAAGTTTCTATCTGATCTACAAAATATAGCAATGCCCTTTTTAAAAATAGTTTTGATTTTTTTACTTAAACAGGACAGTTTTTGTTTTCTTCTTTCATTAAGATACATTCAGGGTACAGACAGAGCCTTTGAGAAGTTCTCTCTCAGTAGCGGGTCTGGTACTCGTGGTGCCATCTGTTGAAGTCGTTGTAGAAGAGCACGATGCTTCCAGAGGACATGCCGGTGATGATGCACCTGAGAGGAGTCAGGAGGGGACATCAGGAGTCAGAAGGGAACATCAGGAGGAGAGGAGGGGACATCAGGAGTCAGAAGGGAACATCAGGAGGAGAGGAGGGGACATCAGGAGGAGAGGAGGGGACATCAAGAGGGGACATCAGGAGTCAGAAGGGAACATCAGGAGGAGAGGAGGGGACATCAGGAGGAGAGGAGGGGACATCAGGAGTCAGAAGGGAACATCAGGAGGAGAGGAGGGGACATCAGGAGAAGAGGAGAGGAGGGGACATCAGGAGGAGAGGAGGGGACATCGGGAGGAGAGGAGGGGACATCAAGAGGGGACATCAGGAGTCAGAAGGGAACATCAGGAGTCAGAAGGGAACATCAGGAGGAGAGGAGGGGACATCAGGAGAAGAGGAGAGGAGGGGACATCAAGAGGGGACATCAGGAGGAGAGGAGGGAACATCAGGAGGAGAGGAGGGGACATCAGGAGGAGAGGAGGGGACATCAGGAGGAGAGGAGGGAACATCAGGAGAAGAGGAGGGGACATCAGGAGAAGAGGAGGGGACATCAGGAGGAGAGGAGGGGACATCAGGAGTCAGAAGGGAACATCAGGAGGAGAGGAGAGGAGGGAACATCAGGAGAAGAGGAGAGGACATCAGGAGGAGACATCAGGAGGAGAGGAGGGGACATCAGGAGAAGAGGAGGGGACATCAGGAGGAGAGGAGAGGACATCAGGAGTAGAGGAGGGGACATCAGGAGGAGAGGAGAGGAGGGAACATCAGGAGGAGAGGAGGGGACATCAGGAGGAGAGGAGGGGACATCAGGAGGAGAGGAGAGGAGGGGACATCAGGAGGAGAGGAGAGGAGGGACATCAGGAGGAGAGGAGGGGACATCAGGAGGAGAGGAGAGGAGGGAACATCAGGAGGTTTATTTGTTTCAAAGTGAGTTTTTTTCATTTGAAGTTCATTTAATGCTAAATCATGAGCCACATGTAAACGTTTTTGGTGTGTAGGGAGTGGTGGTGAAACGTTGTATAATATGAATCCGTAACTAACATTATCGATGATTAATCTTCTGTTAATGGACTCATAAATTAATAATTTCAGTCCTCAATAAATACAAGTACATTTCACTTAAATGCTTTTGACGCTGATTTTATCAATATTTTGAATGCTGGAGTTTTATTACGATTTGACTTGGAGTGGAGTGGTTACTTTTTAGCTTAGAAGAGATACGTTGCTTTTTCAAAAAAGTGCTGTAGGAAGGTTCCCTTTTATTAGAGCCAGGCTAATATTATCTAAGAGTAAACATTTGAGTACCAGAGTATAAATCGGATGATAAGTATTTAGAAATGAGGGTAAGGGTTATTCTGAAAAAGAAACTGTGACGAGAAAAAAGTTTGTTCACAAGGGAGGAATGACAAATATATTTTTAGATGGTTAATTTTACAACTTTTTCCACTACTACATCTACAGCACATTTGACTCACTATAACAATCTTTAAAATAACACATTTAAGGGATCTAAATCTAATCATTATGCATCAAGTCTTTTGTAGTCTTAAATATTAAGTTTTTATTGGCCTTAAAAATCTCCTGTTGGCCAGGCTTCATATTCTGTGTGTGTGTGTGTGTGTGTGTGTGTGTGTGTGTGTGTGTGTGTGTGTGTGCGTGCGTGCGTGCGTGCGTTACCTTTGGTCA